CTCTTCAAAGGCAGCCCCAAGTAGAGTGCATTACAGTAGTCCAAACGGAATGTAACCAGGGCATGTACCACTGAGGCCAGATCCAGTGTCTTAAGGAATGGGCACAGTTAGCTCACAAGTTTTAAATGTGCAAAAGCACTCCTTGCCACTGTAGAGACCTGGGCCTCCAGATTAAAAACTGAGTCCAGGAGTACCCCCAAAGTGAGAACCTGTGTCTTCAGGGGAATTGTGACCCCATCTAACACAGCCTGGATCCCTAGTCCCTGATCTGCCTTCTAACTGAACGGGAGCACCTCTGTCTTCTCTGAAATAAGTTTCAACTTGTTGGCCTTCATCCAGTCCATTGCTGATGACAGACAATGGTTTAGGACCAAGACAGCCTCCTTAGATTGGGGTGGAAAGGAGTAGTAGAGTTGAGTGTCATCAGCATATTGATGACACCGCACCCCAAAACTTCAGACATAATATTAATAGTAATATTAATGTGTAATAACAGCAGTCGTAGAATTAAATAACACTTCTCTAGAGTGCTTTCCACCTGAGAAAGGAACCGGATCTTTTTTCAGAAAAGGATCTAAGAAACAATTGTCTTCGAACTTATGCAGAAAAGCTTCCCAACATTGTTTAGAAAGAAAATAACTTTATTTAAAAGTTAATAGTTAAATTAATATAATAAAAATTAATAGTTCAACCCTATACATATCTACTCAGAGGTACAATTTTTTTAAAAAAGCACAAATGAGTTCAAGCAGAATCTGGACTTCTCCCTCGGCTTGTTCAAGAACAGGAAAATGTCATTCTTGTAAGAGCCATAGGAAAAGTTTGGTTTGCAGATGGGCTCCCTGGGTGGATATGGGCTACCTACAGTCCGGACACAGGTAAATGTGATAACATCCATTTTCATCTTTTAGATCCTGCTTCTCTCCCACTGGGATTCCTGGGTGCAATAATCTCCTTATTCCTGGGTAAGTGGACATAAAATGGATTACTGCCTGGAAAGACAGTATGTCTCTGAAAGGGAACCTTTATATTACATCACATATTCTCTCTCTCACACACACACACACACTTCCCCCTTTCTCTGCTCCCAATGCTGTTACTAAATGAAAATGGTGTTGCCCATCCAGCAAAGCAAGATCCTTCCCTTACGGAATGTTTGGATTACATTCAGGGCTGGGACTTTGACCCTTTAACACCAGTGCTGGGAAGCCCAGAAAATTTCAGTCCAAGCTGTGATTTCAGTTAGTCTTGTTTCATTAAATAAATAAATAAATAAATAAATAAATAACCAGCCAGACTAATGGCTGTACAGTTTGCCTCTTATCCTGGCTGCTGCAAGGGCTTAGAGACTTGCTTTTAAAAAAAGAAAAAGAAAGAAATATGAGAATCCACAAGTGCAAACAGGGATTGGCTGACATGGCTGGAATCTGGGCAAAACCTGGTTAGCCAGGTAACAAGGCAATAAGAGAGAGAAGGTGGATTCCCTTGGAATCCTCTTTTTAATGATGCAGTTTTTGGCAGCCATCTGTCAGTCCTGGTCCAGTAAGCAATGCAATTGGTCAGCAAAACCAAATCTTTACAGGATCGATGATTGGGAAAGGTTCTGTGAATCTACTCAAAGTAAATTTTCCTTAGTAGGTCTGTTCTCAGTGAGGCTCAGAAGTAAATTTAGGTCCAGGAGCTTTTTCCTGAAACTAAAAGCAGAACTGGAGATCAGCAAGCAAGGCACAATAGGGGGTGTAGCAGTACTAAATGGTGGTATTAATTTCATATGACTGTCAGCTGTTACGGCTCCATCTTATGAAATCTTGGGTTGGGTGGTTTAATGAGGTTTGCTAGAAGAGAGAATTCTAAGCACCATTCATCTGTGTAGTGCAAGGGTAGGCAACCTTTCCCCTTTAAGGGCTGAGGGACTTCAGCTCCCAGAATCCCAGGAGCTATTGGCCAACATGGGACTATTGGCCAACGTGGCTGAGGCTTCTGGGAGCTGAAGTCCCTCGGCCCTTAAAGGGGAAAGGTTGCCTACCCCTGGTGTAGTGCAAATACATCCCATGTGAAAGATGGGCTGTGTTTTCCTTAGCCGATTGTAAACTGTGCAGATCTAGATTAGAGTCAAGTTTAAGCCTCCAGATTTGTTTTGCGTGTGGAAAAAGTGAAGGATTAAATTAACAGCTGTATTTCCATAGTACAATCACATGAATAAGCAAATTCTTTTGTATTCTCTATATGAGAATTAACGAAAAATGTATCTAATTCTCTGAGTCACCCTCTGGCTGGTGACAATGAGAATTATCAAAACCACCTAAACTACAGAAATGTCAGTGGTAATTTTTAAAGTCTTCCTCTCCACTTCCCCAATTATGTTCTTTTTTCCCCCTTCAGAATCAGAATAGGTGGGAAGATGGCTCCTTCCTCAGTCTTTCTGCTCCTCTTCATGCTTTTGCCAAACGGCCTTTCATCTATTCCAAATGGCAAACAGAAACCACTATATGAAAGGAAACACCAGGAATTAACCTGCATTGGTATGTGTTTAATGATGGATTTTTTGTTTTGTTTTGTTTACTCTATATTTGAGTACACTGGAAAGCAGATTACCAATTGGCCATTGTTAATGTATCTTTGATATTATGAGCTTATATGGAGCTACATTTTTGAATATTTAGCTTCTTGCATTAGAGGACTAAATCCATTATTATTGGTCTTACTTGAATCAGAAATGAATTAAACTTGTGAGTGACAGGTAATGTAAGTCCCATGGATTTAAATGGATTTCTGAAATACAGGACTAATTTTGGATTAAGCACAGAAGAGTGTATTGTAAGAGTGTATTTTGAAATCCATCAGTTCATTGACCTGTATTTTGAGTTAGAAGGAAGTTACATTCTGCATTGTTTTGAGCCATATTGTTGAACATAATGCAAGACGACATTTAGCAAAGCAGTTTATTCTTCAGCATAATTAGTTTCTGTACTATGCAAACAATTTTCACTCTATGCAACATTTCATATTTAGAAACAATTCCCTGAGCACAATAAGTTCTCACTAGATTTCAGCCAAGACCATTGAATGCAATGTGAAAGCTCATTATTCCTCTATATAGCAAAACAACCAGGTATAATTATGACAACCAGGTACAATAACATCCAAAATCCACAAAACGCTGATAATGATGCAAAAACATGGAGGGCTAGCTTTGAAATTCAGTGCTCTCTTCCTAACAAAGGGGTTTACAGCTTCACAAAGGATGGAGGCAACTTGCATCTCAAGGGGAACACCTCTTTTTGTCCTGCTAATGGATCTTAACTTTTATTTTCTGGAGTATCCACATGGTCAGAAGGAGGAAGGGCCAGTCTTCATGAATGTCCCTCCAACAACACCTGAACTGAGAACAGCAACATCTTGACAAAATGCAGGCTTGTGATTAACATCACCTTATTTTTCCCTGTTTGATTTTTAACATGTTTGCCTGACGAAGAAACCAGCGGTGCTTCGAAAGCTTGCAATATGTATTTTGTGCTTTTTGGTTGGTCCTATAAAGGTATCATTGTTTTGTGGATTTTGGATGTTGTTGTGCTTTGCTACAGGGCCAAGACAGCTTTTGTTGTTGTGTGCCTTCAAGTCCTTTCTGACTTACGGACACCCTAAGGTGACCCCATCATTGAGTTTGCTTGGCAAGATTAGGTCCAGTAGCATCACTGATAGGGTGTGACAGGTGCTGACTGCACTGGGTGACACCCCAGAATGGGGGTGATACCCTAAAAGAGGGGGTGACACCCGGTCAGCCCCTACCCCCACAGGTACTCCATAGGCCTGCACTGGTGCCGCTCCAGGACTCGGGGGAGGAGTCTCTGGTCTGGATGGGCAGCGGGCGGCCACTTTCACACCACACCCCTCCTGGCTTTGTGGCTGCTTCCACAGGCCTTGGGGGGGTGTCTCCTGTCCTCAGGCGAGAGGTCTTCCATGGGCCTCGGGGGGGGGGGTTTCCCAGGTCTCAAAGGAGAGGTCTCAGACCCAGGCAGGCAAGGCTGCTTTCCCACCCTGTGCACTGTTTCTGCGGCTTGCATAAGGCTTCTCCAGCAGCGTGGTCATTTCCACGGCCCTCAGGGGAGTCTCCGAGCCTCAGAGGAGAGGTGTCTGGCCCAGGTGAGCTGCGGGAGCTGTTTCTGCTGCCTTCATGGCAATTTTCACATGTCCCCAACCCCAGACATCCCACCGGAAGTCCCGCCCCCAGAAGCTCCCCCTCCCACACCGGGTGACACTGCGGGTGAGTACGTCACCAATTAGGTCAGAGGAGGTTTGCCCTGGCCTTCCTCTGAGGCTGAGAGAATATGACTTGCCCAAGGTCACCCAGTGGGTTCCATGCCTGAGGTGGGATTTGAACCCTGGTCTCTGGAGTCAGAGTCCAACAGTCAAACCACTACGCCAAGCTGGCTAAACACGGCTACCCCTGGATGTTTCTGGACGTAAGGTACAGTTAAGAGATTTATTTATTTTTTAGAAATATATAAGTATCCCAGTAAAAGTGGAATAATTTTGTCACTTTTAAATATGTAGAAGTATGTATCAGATATCATGATTGTAAGGATTTTTAATATCCCTGTGATGTCTACAAATTTAGATTTTCACCTTTTTTTTCTTCTTCTTCTCATTCTTCTGTTGGAAGTTGAACATAATCATTTGTGAACTGTCTTTGTCTTTAGATGTGGCCACTCTAAATAAATATGGTTCATTGCATCCAAACCATTCTTCAAGGATTTTTCAGCCAAAAAGTTCTTCCTGCACATAGTTTTTCATTTATTTTTGCCTTGAATAATCAAAAGTAACTATATTTTCTCTTTTTCATTATATTAAAATATTCTAATTTTCTTTTGTTCTGCATTTCATTATTTCTTAGTCTTTGTATTTAATATTTCTTCATTAATGCTTTAATATTTCTTCATGGGTTATTCCATTTCATACAGTGGAAGTGAGAATAAATAACACCATGCAATGTGAATTTGCAAAACCAATTTTAAATTTTTGTTGCACCATTACATTATTCATCTTTAAAAAGCTAGTCTGGTCCATCACTGGTCTAACTTTTATTGCTTGATTATGATCCTACTACTACTTCAACTGCATCCCAAAAGTTTATATTTGTCAACATGCCTCATGATTTTATTTTGAATCATCCACTATATTTCCAAGGCTTCTTGCCTTTTAAGAATTAGCGTGCACTTGGTTTTCTTAACTTCAATTTTTAGACCCTAATTATGGCTTACGTTCAAGCAATCTTAACAGAACATCTTAACTTGTCAGCTAGGAATGCTGTATTATCTGCTTGTTGGATGTTATTGATAGAATCTGCATTAACTGTAGTACCATCATTTGAATCATCAAGGGCTTCCATAGGTGTGTTACGAAACCAAATATAAAAATGTCAACCTTGAGCCACACTTTTTACAAAGCTTCTTGATAATGTTGTTACCAAACTTTTGCATTCCAACATTTTTCATCTTCTTGCGATCTTCTTCCAGATTAGTTTAACAGTGAAACTTGGTTACAATGCCATTTTTTCCCTGTGTGAACAGATAAAGCACGGTTGCGGTAGCAGTTCAAGAGTAACTGTGGTTTTAATTTTAGTTTAAAAAGTAAAATGCTCTTTAACCCTACCCCCAACAGTGGAATTGTAACCAAGTTTCACAGTTAAACTAAGTGACTGGAAGAAGGTGAGGATAAAGGTCTCATTTTCTTTTTCAAGTGTGCTGTAATGTTTATTATTAAAATTAAAATTAAAAAATGGTGAATGGAAATCAGTAGTTAGAGCCCTCAAATAGAAAAAAAGATGACTGTGTAAGGATCAGTTCATAACTTGTTGATCATTTGTGCAAGGTTTTATAGTTTTCTGCTCAGCACAAATGATTAACAAGTTCTGAACTTATCCTTAAATGGTTATCTTTTTTCTATTTCAGGGTTTTAATTACTGATTTCCATTCGTTATTTTAATTTTAATAGCAGAATTATAGCAAATTTTAAAAAGAAAATGAGGCATAGTGAGTTTGTGTTCTAGCTACAGTACCATGGAGAGGATGTGCCTTCAACACCACTATTGTCATAGGCCTATCTGGTGAGGACCTGGAAGACAGCCTTCTTGCTGGCTATTTCCAGGGTGTTATTTAATCTGGGTTGTTTGGTTTTTTTTTCAACCATTATATCAGGTTTTATAATTGTACCTTGTTTTAACTTTGTGATAAGCCATTGTAGATCCCTATGAGAAAGGCAAGGTTTAAAAAAAAAGTAAAACAAAATGGGCTTTCTTGGGGGTAACTACCAACTCCATCCATTAATCACTGAGTGATTTTACTTTTGTAACTATGGCATTGTCTTGTCATAATCATCCTTGGATTTATTTGTGTGTGATAGCCTTAATGAGGTCCTTATCGATGATGGAGGACTAGAAGAAAATCAGTAATTAAAATCCCATCAAGAGCTTACATTGGATAATGAGGGGGTATTAATATCCCTACTACGTGAAACAGGCAGTAATAGTGAGCCTAAAAGGACAAAGCTTTTAATTAACATTGGAGGGATCTTTTCTAAATTGGAATTCTGAACTGACTTCGGAGTAAATATTATAGAAGGCACTTGACTGACATTCTGACAATGTGTAGCAGAAATTCTTGGGACACACAAAATGTGTTGCAAATGCCTCCAAAATGGAAGGTTTTCAATTGTACAATTATTCAGGTTACCACTATATTGATATGTAAGCTGTTAAGATTTTGCTATGATTTTTGGAAAGGCAAATGTCTATGGATTATACTTTCTTTTATACTTTTTTATATATATACATCTTCATGGAGATGTCATTCCCCCACCACTACTCAACATAGTATATGAATAAAAATATTTTGTTTGTGTAGTGTGCAGATTTTCGTTCACACATTAACATTTTACAATGCCAAGGAATTATCTATAACAATATTGATAGACCTTTTGAAAAATTATAAAAAAATCTTGTGTCCTTATATCTTATCAATGTTTGTTTTGGCCGATACACAATACTGTTGCTACCATAAGTGTAGAGGGAGACTCACGTATGGTTGTATCATGGGAACAAATCTTCCTTTGTCCTTCCCCCCCCCCATTCAAAACTTGAACTTTGATATGTTTTTGTTTATTACAGTAATTGCTTCTTTGTGAGCAATTATTTCTCCCCATGCCAGTTGCTAGTAGAAACAAGGCAAGTGCTGAGCGCATGCAGTTCTGGGTTCCTCAGATCTGTACAGAACAATGCCCCAGGGGCATTGTTAATCAGGGGTAATCAATAGGGATTAATAGTCTCCAAACAAAAGAGATCATGAGAACAAGCCCTTACTAGCTGCATGCTAGCTAATTGTTTAGGGAAATAAGCAGTACTAATAACTACTATGTGTGCATATAATTTACCTGATTACCTGAACTAATTATTCATTAGTAACCCCCACTGAACTATTTATAAGCAAGCGATTTCAATGTGAGAGCCTCTGTATTTAATCATGGTAACAATGCATATAAATGAGGGATATAGATCTATTTTAGCATTAGTGCAACAAACAAAAGGCAAAGAGAATGTGGCAAGCTATTCCACTGATGTCCATGTAAGTAATATTCCAAGGTTGGCATCTGTCTGCCTTTCTGTGCTCCTCGCCCCCTATGATGCTTGCCAGTGCAGAGAAAGAAAAATGAATTGCAAAAGCTGGAAGCCATTTTTAAACTGGCTTCATTTGCAACATATTTTTGCAGTTTGACATTTCCTTGCATTTTTTAATGGATGGCTGAATATACACCCTTCTGGTGTAGCAATATTGCTATTTAAGAATTAGGTCATTTCAGCAACACTCCAGCCCAGTAATTTTGTCAGCAACTCTGAACACAGTATTCCTTAATCTCCAGGCTTAGTTTACAATCAGGACAGAGCTGAAAGCCATCTGCAGTACAGAATGCTCAGGCAAACCTCAAAAGATTTGCAGAGTAACCATTCTCAATGGAGAACAGCCCTGGCTTAGGAGGCCTCCATGAGCCACAAGCTTATGCAAATTGCATGTGTTAAATCAGGTCCCCTTACTTGTATTCTCTCTCTCTGTCTCTAGTAATCTGGAGGATATGAGTATGTAAGGATGGTTAGGCTACGAAAGAGAGACAGGAGTATCTAGTAGGGAATGGAATGAAAACTTGTTCTTTGTAGTGTAGTGCACCAACTCTTGGATCTGATGCAGAAAGCACTTACACAAATTCCAACTCCCCCACTCCATTTAGTTTAAAAAGTGCTTTTTAAGAACCTTCATTGTAAATCAACTTTTTTATTTTCTCTTTATTGTTGTCTTTAGAAAGACAACAATATAAAATAATGCTTTATGTAGAATTTTAATGTGAGATATTAGCATTGTTATCCTTTACAATAAAGGATGAGTTGCATCCTTAGGGTTAATCTTTCTTTCAAAAGGAGAAGCCTTCTTAACCCACACAGTAATTTTAAGATCTCCCACAAAAGAAGAAACACTGACAAGTAACAAGTGCAACATTTGGCAGAAGTAGATATTAACATAATATTAACTTGATCGTCCATCAAATGATAACCTAGGATGGTCTGAAGGTAGATTTGGATCTATTGATAGATCTGAGAGGTTTGCATCAGATTGACAAGGATTTTTGAGATCCAGTTCTTTCATAATAATAGCAACAAATTATACACATACACACACAGGTGCTCTAAACTGTTGGTTAGGATAACCAGGGTGAGACTTTTGCATGGAGGGCAATTGAGAGGTCAGTTTGAAACAAATTCCTGGGCTCAGAATTCTTTAATTCCTTTGAGTGCTTTTTGCACCCAGCTCCCAATGGTGAAATCTGGCCTGCCAGTGATATACTCATCTGTCAGCTTGCTTCACTCCCATAGCAATCCTTCCAAGCATCTCATCAGCATTTTAGCTGTACTTTGAAATGCTTAGAGTTGGCTGCCCTCGGCAATGCTCTTAATCTTCCACCACAGGGGGCTGCTTTTATTTGATCAGCAGCCTCGATACCTTTCACCTTCACTAGGGTCCATGCAATCCTTCAGTTTCACTTCTCCAAATATGCTTCAAAGATCTAGGCCCAAAACTCATGGGCCAAATAAAGTAGCTTCCAGCTGCTTTGAGAGCATGGCATCTAATTGACGCACACTCCCACGGTGGCTAGAAGCCACTCCGGTGCCACACTCTGGTCCAAAGGACCAGATCAAAAAGAAGCCTAATGGGTGAAGCAGATGGCCGGGAAGGAGCAGCCTCCAGCTGCTCTGGCCACAATATGGCTGGGACCACAGCAGCCGCATGGCCCACTCTCAAAATGGGTCACTGTTGCAGGTCCCAAGCGGCATCGGCCAGGAGTTGGTTTAAACTGATTTCTTTCTGCAGTGGCAGTGGGCTCCTCTTT